TTTCTGGGTATGGTTTCGGAGATACGACTCAAACTTATGATTTTTCAAATAGAACACCCTGTATTTCATGAGCTCATTAAATTTTTTCCCCATGAAAATGAAATATGATGAATAGGAATAAAATGTTCAAAAATGCTCCAAAATCACCAAAACACTGAATTTTAATAGTTAGGCTATGGATTTTTCATTTAAAAAAAGTTCCAATTGAAGGAATATTTCATTTGATTCTTTCATGAAAAGGACAAAAACAATCGCAATACTAGTTAATTGAGATAACACAAAAATTAGGTACCTGATAGCAACAAATGAATGGTAATAAAAAGTTCATATTCTAGAATAAGCACCTGATTTAATATTAAATAACCAATTGAATTTAGAAATTAATCAGTAATTTATTCATTGAATTGTTCAAATTGATGTCCACTTTCCCTCACACACGCTTTTTCAATACGTCTCAATGCATTCAAAATCATTAAAGGATGTCTTTGTAATTCCTGGAAAACTGCCTCTGTTGTTGCACCAAGGTCTTCAAGATATTTGTGACTCTTCAAGACGTATTGAGAAACTGTGTCAATTGTGTGTTATGGGAAATGGACATCAATTTGAATAATTCAGTGAATAAGTTATTGAATAATTCCGAAATTCAATTGTATTTGTAAATATTTAATCTGGTGCTTATTCTACATTATGAACTTTTTATTACTATTTATTTGTTGCTATCAGGTACAGAATTTTTGTGTTTTCTCAGTTAATTAGTGTTGGTATTGTTCTTGTCCTCTTTATGGAAAAATCAAAATGAATATTCCTTCAATTGGAACTTTTTTATAAGAAAAATCCATAGCCCACTATTAAAATTCAATGTTTCAGTGATTTCAGAGCATTTTTGAAAATTTCATATACATACATTATAATTAATTTTGAAGAGAAAAAAATGAGGAATTTTATGAGCTTATAAAATACAGGGTGTTCCATTTAAAAAATCATAAGTTTGAGTCGTATCTCCAAAACTATACCCCGAAAAAAAAATTTTGAGTGCGCCACTGGATTCTGCGTGAACTTTCACATGGGATTAGATTCAAATTTGACATTTTTGCTGAGGAACTTCGTAGATATAGAGGGGTCCGAAAAGTATAAATTTTCAAAATCGCCCTGTATCTCATAAACGGAAACAGTTATGCAAAATCTGATTAGGCCATCTTGAGTTTCACAAAAAAGTGGCACACGACCGCGAAACCCGCAAGGTTCTATCTCGAAAGATAACTGAGATATCACACAAAAGCATCGAAAACTGGACACACTGTACACCACCGGTTTTTCTAAGTTTCATATTTTTATTAGATTGAACTATTGTAATAACAACTTTTTCTATGCTCTGTGTGATTTAAGTATTTAGCTTAGTTTCCGAGGAAAGAATAAAAATTCGATTCGACTCCAAATTTTAATGTAGGTTTTTTCAAGACTCCCATTGAGATTACCCAATAACCACAATTAGAATCATTTTGAAATTTTGGTGCTTTCTCAGTCTCCATCCATACTGAATTTTGGCACCATGAAAGCTTATACAGGGGGGTTATAAATAAAAACAATTGATACTTCCAACTTCAACATCCTGTATCTCAAAAACGGAGCAAGTTAGGACACATATTTATATGAACTTCATTTCCTAGAATATCACAAGGAAACAGCCCTCGAATTTTTTCGGTGTTATTTATATACACCCTGTATATCTGAATGAATAATATATTGAATGTCAAGAACAGAATTGGAATTCTATTTTCCAAGCAAGTATCTTGGTTTGCACATTTCTGGATGACACATGATTTGAATCAGTACATTTATCATGTTTACTGCCACTTGCCGAGATATGGTTGAGCGTTGATGTAAACGAAATTTTTCTAATGCATGATGATGCACCGTATAAATATATCTTTAAATTTGTCTTACTTACTCACTGAGCATTTCCGTAAAAATGAAACAAATGATATTCCAATGTCGTGATGATTGAATTTCGATCGAAGAATATATACAGAGGGTGTTTCAGAATTAAATGTACATACGATGCCTGTTGATAGTTGATAGTGGTTCTAAATCACCCCTAATTGATGTGCCTGTTGTGTTTTATTACTGAGATACAGAGCGTTTTCTCCATTTTAGCACAATATTCATGTAGTCATAACTTTTGCACCACGTCGTATAATCTGACAATACTTGGTATACATAATCCACCTACATTACCAATCAGAACTAAATAGGAATGGACATCAGAATTCAGGTCGTCTCCAGAACAAACTCAAAATTTCTTCAATTCCAAAAACAACACCCTGTACAGCAAAATTTTGTAGATCTGTTTCGAAAAGTTGTATACATTACCTCAATTTAGTGACCGCGCATCGTTGTGGCAAGGGGAACCGATAATATTTTAATCATTATTTTCAAGTGTTGGCTTCATTTTTGGGCAATTATTGAAAATCAACGATTATTTTAATTTCAAAAACAAAACCCTTTTTATTCTAATTTTATAGATCTGTTTCGACATTGTCTGGATCTATTGGTTATTACCCTAATTGCATTTCTAATAACGTTAGGCTCATATCTAATTTCGTTGCAAGCGTTATTGTTGCATTTCAAAAGTTCTTTTCTTGAATTAATTTGAACTTCGTAAACCTTCGACTTCAAGTGACCTCAAAGAAAATAATCAATCGGATTAAAATCCGGAGATCGTGGAGGCCAGAGATGAGGTCTACATCGACCTATCCAGGTGTTCGGAAAGTTTTCATCAAGGAAATTTCTTAAAATTATTCCTGAATGAGGAGGGGCACCATCATGTTGGAAGTACATGTCTCCGATGTTTTCATTAGCACGGGTAAGATATTTTGCAGGAAATCCAAGTAAAGTTCACCTGTGAAATGGTTATTGAAAACACCACACCAAACATTGACAAAAAACTTAAATTGACTTTTAGTCTGACGTATAGCATGTGGATTCTCCGAGGGGAAAATCTCCAGGAAAAATGTATTCACCAGACTTCCAATTACCAAAGACTTCCAAAGACTTCCAAAGACTCCCAAAGACTTCCAAAGACTCCCAAAGACTTCTAAAGACTTCCAAAGACATCCAAAGACATCCAAAGACTTTCAAAGACATCCAATGACTTCCAAAGACATCCAAAAACATCCAAAGACTTCCAAAGGATTCCAAATACTTCCAACGGAGTGTACACCAGGCTTCCAAGGAGATTTACCCCTCGGGATTCTCTACTGCCCAAACATGCAAATTTCTGCTATTAAAAACACCATATCTTGTGAATGTACCTCATCTGTAAAAAGGTACCTGTTGACAATTCTTCTGTTGTGGATTATCCAGTTTTATCTTCAGCTTCTAATTTCTGAACCTGTTGGACATGGAATGGGTGCATATGATTCCGCTTCAATGTCTTTCAAACAGTGGTATGTGGAAGGCCCAACGCATGTCCCACTCATCTTGTGCTTATTTTCGGATTATTTTCAGCAATATTGGGAATATTTTCCTGCACTCCCAAATTTTGCCTCACTTGATGCTCATTTAGGACAGCTGTAGGAAGCCGACCATATTGCTTGAAGTGATTAAAAACGTTGGCAAACGTTTAATGAGGCATTATGATAAATAATTGAAAATGTACATTCAATACAATGAATACAATTACCTCAACGTTATCAACAATGTCACACTAGTGGATATGAACTGTGAGAAATTTGAAATTGTTTGCAATGCCTACTAATTTATTGCAACTGATAGTCAATATTCATGAATAGGCGCTCGAAGAGAGTTGGAATATATAAAAATCAACAATTGAGACTATTGATAGTTCATCTAATCTGAAACCAAAAAAAATCTGATTTTCATTAAATTTTTGATATCGTTTTCAATAAATGCCCTAAAATGGAGCCAAAACTTTAAAATGAACAGATCTGCAAAATTTTGCGGTACAGAGGGTGTTGCTTTTGAAATTGAACAAACTGTGAATTTGATCTGTAGACGGACCTGGATTCTGATTTCCATTACCATTTAGTTGTGATGGGTAATGTAGGTGGATAATGTATACCAAGTATTGTCAGATTATAGAAAGTGGTACAAAAGTTATGGCCACTTGTCAAAATGAAGAAAACGTCCTGTATCTCAGTAATAATTAAAAGACAACAGGCACATCAATGGGGGATGATTCAGGACCACCAAGGTGTCCACTATCAACAGGCATCGTATGTACATTTAATTCTGAAACACCCTGTATACACCCACTTTTCTGTGTCAATTATCATTTTTATTGATTTTACTTGATTTTTCGCGAGTTTCTCTCCTTGTTTCTATAAAATAAAAATATTCGAATTATTTCAATATATTTGTAGTGAGACAAATCAGATGATTTGCGTTTGCCCCAAAATGTCATTGCGTTTGTTTAGAAAATTTTTGAAGGAAAGAAATATTGATTTTTCTAAAATCAAGGGCTTGCATTTTTCTAAACGGAGATAATAGTATTGCTTCCTGTTCAGTTGATATAGATAGAACATGATATTCACATTTGTTGACCAAAATCACTCATTCATATGCCAACATCAGTATGGCACTCAGAAGTGTCAAACTATAAGCAAAGCACAACTTCCAGAGAAAAATATTTTGTATTTACATGTTGAGAACGGGAGCAGATTCGGTCCCGAAACGTCCATAGATACGTAAAAATTCGATATTTTTTTAATATATCTATATTTCTTTCCTTCAAACATTTTTTTAAACAAATTGTCACTGCCAAGCTACTGGATTTTTGATTTCCTGATAGAAAAATTTGCTAAGCCCAGTGACATTTTGGGGCAAATCATCTGATTTGTCCCACTACAAATATAAACGTGGAGAAACGAGGAGAGAAAATCCAGAAAAATTAAGTAAAATGAATGTACCACCTCCTCGATTAACCTACAGACAGTATGTTTATTGATGTTATTACGTTTTGGTTAACCTATTAGACTCACAGCAAGCAGCCTCTTCGTCAGCGTTATCCTCGCAATCTTTCTTTCCATCACACAACTTGCTCTTCGGAATACATTTATAGCCTCCAGTAGGACCTCCTCTAGGACATAGAAACTTATTTTCGGGACAAGCGATGGCTGTGCAATTCAACTCGTCCGATCCGTCGGAACATTCTTGATAACCGTCACAACGGAAGGCTCCGGGGATACAAAGGGCGTTGGCGCAACGAAATTGGACGCCGTGGCATATGGGGAAGTCTGGAAACAAGAAAAAATCGTTCTAATGAGTATGAATTCAATAAATATTGGGATATTTCCATCATCACTAATCGTTTCAGTCACAGTGGAATGCTGAAATCAGTATAAGATGTCTCAAAGTTACTTTATTTTGCTGCTAGTTATAGTATCAAAAGTATCTAATTTGTCAACGCACCAAGAACCAATGTTGGTAGAACTGATTATAATTTGTTTATCAATTAATGAAATTTGGTATTCTGCTTGAATAATTAATCCTTAATTAGAATTTGAGCTCAAAATTCCATACTGGAGGGGTTAAGGGTGAAAACAATACCATTTTTAATGGCATTTTTTCTTCAAATTTTGATTCCAGAATACGATTCCTTCAGGATTTTTATGTAAAAGAGGTATCTAGTTCATATATCGATATATATATAGCTAGTATAGTTTCCGAGGAGATCGCAATTATCAATGCATCGGCATATTTACCTGTTTTTTTTTCACATTTCAGGAGATGATACCTGTGGAATTTGGTACACTGCTCAAGCTTTTGTTGACGACAAATAAGGTTATATGTGCTCAAAATTTCATCAGAGGCGTTTCATACTTAATTCATACTGAATTCATACTGAAGTGGTTAGGAAAAAATAACCCCATGATGGGTATTAGTGTAGTAAATTGCAATTTTAATTATTATTTGTGAGGGAAGGTTGTTTAGACTAGAAAATATGGTTAGGTTTGGTAGATTATTGGGTTCATAGAAATGTAGGTTGTTGGTGAATTCTAGATCACAACTGGATTGGTGAATCGACTCGAATACAGCTATAAAATATACATGATGTTTCCTAACATTGGTGAAGGTTGGTAGTGTGAATCCTGATGTATTTCTATGGAAGAATAAGTAAATATCTATCGAAAAATTATTTCTACGCTACGCCCATACTGAAGTGGCAACCCCATTTTTTGATGGCAATTATGGGGATAGATGATGGGTATCAGTGTAATAAATTGTAATTTTCATGAGAACAATAATCAACCCTATCTAAGCGTAGAGTATCTTTTCACATGAACATTCTTCAAGGATAAAACAATTCTAGAAGCAGCAGAGTGTCAAAAATAAATTGCCATAAAAAATGGGGTTGTTTTTACCCTTAACCACTTCAGTATATGATACTTCTCTGATGCAATTTCAAAATTATCAACGCAGAATTCAATTTGGTGTCGAAAACTCATGCACTATACGAAATTTCAAAATTTCAGTAGAAACGGTTTCGAAAACCTGTCTTTAAAATTAGGATTTCTTCGAAAACTAATAGCCCTGAACTAGAAGTACCTTTTTGTGGTGAAAAACCAATAACAATGCTGTATTCAGGAATACAAATTTGAAGAAAAATAAGCATAAAATATTAGATCGTGTTTTCCTTAAACTATTCAGATTAGAATTCTGAAATCCTGAGCTCAAATTCTGATCCAACATCAAAAGTTCATGGGATGTATCAAACCCACAAAACGCAGAATATCTCATCACTGTTATTCTCATATCTCATTTATTCACGAGATATTCATTGACGAATTCGAAACGGACATCCTTCAGAAGATATATATTGCGCGGCATTAAATCTTGTGCTTTTATGCCTAGTGAAACAAATAACTATTTCCTTTGTATAACTGTCAGGAAATTAGACATTTCTTCATATCTATTTATGAGTGATTTTTTTTTATCATCAAACAAGTCTGTTTATCATCGTGCAAAAAGACACTCTAACTGGCAGGAATTATTCACAAGAGAAACATGAAATGACACTATTCCACGGAATTGGCCATAATATATTGTTGGCAACCGTCCGAGGAGTGCTCATTTCCAGGACGCTTTTCTTTTGAGAAAGTAGAATTTTTCCCGCCTAGTCCGGGAAGAACGTACTTCCCGGAGTAGGCCAGGTAGTATCACATCGTTGTTGTCACTGTAACTATGAAAATCTTCTTAGATATGGTTTTGATAAATGCAAATGATGATTACTATAGCAGCGAAATATCGGCTCACAGCTATTTGACATGAAATTAGTTGACATTTTGATTTCTGAAAGTTTGGTTGCAATTATCGCAATAAACTATCGAAAGCATCTGCGACAGTGAGTTTGGAAATGTCCATACGAAATTTTCAATGTAACAGTTATAGTAGGTATAGATAATCTGTTCAAATTTCACAGCATTTGATACAAATGGGAATTAATAAAGAAGAAATTGTATTTTACAAAGAAATATAATATGGAAATGTGTCTCATTGATTTGTTATTCTACATGGTTGGTTGGAAAGAATAGTGTACTCAACACGTCCAAAAATAAGGTTTTCAGAATTTAGAAGCTATCTCGCTACCACCATCATAATCAACGAATCCATCTTAAAATTGAAGGAAATACGAAAACCATGAATGAATGACAACCAGGTTCCAACAAGCTACGTTCCAGCCAGCTCATTGTTTTTTGCACGTGTCGAGGTGACGGACCTAAGGGACATCAAGCGGCGTAAGGAAACAACATTCACTAGGTAATTTTCTTTCAATCAGTCTATTTCGAGTTCCTATAATCTGTAATTACTTCACTTTCCCGTTACATTGGGACACTTTGTATAAAAACAACAGGAGTGCAAACAGAATATAGCCAATATACTCTGATGATGAAGTTATTTCAACTCTTTCTGCATTGATTGATGAAATAAACCTCTGGTGCGCTCACTCTTCATTTGTTTCATCAGACTGGTTCTTGATATAAACAATTGAATTTCAGACGATGACGTGGGGTTCACATGTTGAATGTTAGATGGCGTGATTCCTAGAACTTATGATCAACATCAGTTCTACCAACCTTGATGCGGCTGAATTGCAAAATGTATTCCCTATCTTCATTGGTCACAATTGTTGTCACATTGATGCCTGTAATTTTGGTACGGCACCAGACTAAACGTAGCGAGATACACCCACGCCATGTTATGTTTATCGAAGTAGGCGCATACGAGGGCGCATATCAAGGAATTGTAAAACAGGAAAGGATTGAAGTGCGTACACCAGAGGTTCATTTCAACTATTTATGCTATGATACTCACTGCATCCTTGTTCATCCGAATTATCTCCACAATCATCCTTATGATCGCACTTCTGTGACATCTCGATACACCTGTGGCCTTTGGCGCATCTAAATTGATCCAAGCGACATGACACCCCTGGACAATTTTCTTCGTCTTTTCCGGTTCGGCAATCATAGTACCCGTCGCACTTTTTCTCTTTTGGAATGCACGGATCGGTAGCTCTAGTGCCGCAGTGGAAGTCCTCATTTTGACACTTTCTATAAGCTGAAAGCATTGAAGAAATGTTTTTTTAATTTTTTTTTGCATGATGAAAATATTCATTTCAACAATATTTATTACTAACTGATTTCTCTAGACTTTCTGGAATTTTCTCTCCTTGTTTCTATGACTGAAAATATGAGTATCATTATTTCAATATACAAGTAGGAACAAATAAGATGATTTGCAATGTCACTGCCCACTGAAAGTAGAATTTACAAACGCATAAAAAATTAATGGACCTTACAGGGTTGGGATAAAGTATGGAATACCTTTAAAACGAGCAAGGCGAAATTTATTGAACTTGGCAGTCAAGTGTACAATGCCACGAGATGCATCTGATGTGATTAAACCGCGGAAATACACTCATATATATTTTTTAATTCAAATTCAAATTTAATTGATGGCTCAAAATGAAGGATATGGTTCCTTAGCTCATTTTGAGTAGGAGAAAAGTTTATATGAACATAATATATGCCCTAATCCTCCTAACTTTCGAGCTATAGGGTGTTGACATTTTAGGAAAAAATGTGTTTTCATATCATAACTTCAATACTGTTCGGTATATTTTCACGAAATTCGACATGCACCTACTAAGCACCAATGGGCAAGTTGAGATGCAGGATTTTTTAATATTCCTACCAGTGGCGCCCGTATACTGGAGATTTATAAAATAAATATTGTACGCCTTTGCTTGAAATTCCCATTTATTTTGCAACAATTTGACTTCCCGAATGTTTTCTGTCCGACGCACCGTTTTCGCGTAAAATATTGAAACCCTTTTTCAATGAATTTGTGGCATAACGAAATTATTTTGAACTAGCACACTGGGGCCCTATTTTGTATTTAAAATAATGACATTTGATCGATTATGTTCTGGTCTTATTTTGACAAGTATTCCTAAACGTGACTTTCACATTGTGAAGGTTTCTTCAATCGATAATCAAGAGAAATAGTTATTTGTTTTACTAGGCAGGAAAGTAGTAGATTGACTGCTGCGGCTGACAGTTCATAACCGAGCGTAACGAGGCTAGGAATTCAGGCAAGGCATTCAATCTACATTTACTGCCGTGTGAAACATAAAATGTTTTCTCCAAATGTTATGAAACCCATTTTGTGCAGATTTTTTGTTGGAAAATCCATCATTTTCTGTTCACCCAATGCCAGTGTCAATTTTGATTACCAATTTTATTAGAATTTCTTGGAACGTTGCATAGCAACGAACTTTTCCTGCCTAGGCTGAGGAACCACATCCTATATTTTTAGCAATCATTTAAATTACACATCGTATGAATATACAAGGTGTCCTGAAATTACATGAAAAGATTTCAACCACAGATTCTAGGAACAAAAATAGTGAAAGAAGTTCATATAAACATGGGCCCAAAAATGACTTCCTGAAGGGTTATACCTATCAAAAGGGGAGCTGGAGATGATGATGGTTTTATGTCAATATTTCCGAAACCCTTTGTGATAAAATGACCAAACTTTGCACATGTACCCAACTTTTTATGACCGATTCGGAAGTGTTGAGACATTTCCGAAATTTTCATCAGGAGCGTCGGAATCAGGTGGGGCCAGGTGCTCTTTTTCTCCCAACTTTTTTGTTTATGCAATTTGCGACACTTTGACCAGCAAATATGCAAATCTCAATATTTTCACTCAAAAATAGGGGTACCATTTTTGATCAGTTCCGATAGCATTCACCATTCTCGAGATAAATCGATCCGAAAATTCTGTTGCGTCATGAATACAGTGATTTGTTCTTCACCGAATTTTCCCAAAAATTATGGTTTGATGAAAAATGACCCCTATTTTCAAGATCTACTTTGAATGTTTGATTAAAAATATGAGGAGTGCATTGAAAAGAATGAATTGAAAAATAATATGGTATGACATGCAAAGGTACTATTTTTATTGCGCTACAGATTTATAAAATTGATGTATCTCGAAATTGGCATGTACTATCGAAACTGAACAAGAGTGACATTTTTGAGTAAAAATGATGATATTTTCATACCTATTTCCTGGTCAAACTGCCCAAAATTGCATCTCACGTTTAAATGAAGTTTTTTTCACTATATTTGTTCCTAGAATCTGTGTTTACGGTGTAATAGTATAATATATTTTGATATATATCTGGTTCCGTTCTAGAGAAAGTCGCATTTCAAAAAGATGCATCCCACCTATTTCAGAGGTAATAAAAACTGTAATCCATCATGGTAGTTGTAGAGCTAATAGAGAGAGCCAAAATGTCTATCGCACTTCGTTACGGATCTGCAAGTCCACATAAACTCTCAAGGTCAATAACTCTATCAGTCCTGCAACTACCATGATGTTATTATATGAATAGAGTTTTTATTGCCTTTAAAATGGTTGGGATATATTTTTTTGAAAATAAGACAAATAGAACAGTAAAAGATATCGATTAAAATAAATAAAACCATTTCAGTAGAAAAATTATGAAGGATTCGAACGGTGGAAACAATATGTCAAATTTGTCACCTCTGTCAAAAATACCTCCATCAACGGAAAAAAATCGTCCCATCGTGTATAAAATATAATCACTGAACAGAAGTGTACATATCGGAATTAAGTTACCCGAATTTAATTGATAACACGGCAACAGTTTAAAAGTTCTACATGAAATATATTTTTTTATTCAAACTTTCAAGGTCACTAACTCCGTAACGAAGTGCGATAGACATTTTTTTATATGAAGTACTAACATTATTTTGGATCACTCTATCAGCCCTATAATTCAAGATATGACCTTTTTCTGGGTTTAGTGGAAATAATACAGAGTGATTCACGTAGGGCACACATTAGACGTTTTCCAACTTGCATTTGGACTAAAAACTCAAACATTGGTATTCTGTTTTCATTGATCATTGTTCATTTCGAATCTACCTGAAATATTTTTAGTTCTCCAGCTATACAGGGTGTGCCATAATGTGACACCATTTTTTTATTTTGAATAGAAACCTACCATTGTTTACATGGTTCGATTGGCCTTCTCATTTTGAGTTGAGACAATCTAATTAATGTTTACTTATGAACCACCCCAGACATCACTGGATATTCCTAGAATATCCTCTAAATATGCTAAAAGAGAAGAGTATATTTCGAATATTCACCGAATATTCCTAGAATATATATGGGCCTCTGGAATATCCAAAAATAATTGAATTTGAATATTCTAGTAATATTCTAAAATAATATACACGGAATATTCCAGAACGAATATTCAAAGATGAATATTCCAAGAATATTCCAGTTAGATTGGTACATTATTGATAAAAATAATCACAGCAGATGCATCTTGTATCGTAGTTGACTGCAAAGTTTCATAAATTTCGCCCTCTTCCTTCCAAAGATATTCACTTGGTTCCATACTTCATCCCAACCCTATAGAAAAACTATACCAGAAATTCATAACTACCCCAAAATTTATTTAAAACGCATCATAATCAATTCAGTGGTACCACTAGTACTTCCTACATGACTAATTTCAGTGTGGAAATCTTTTCAATTATTGTATTTTTTTCTAAATAGGAGACACTACGATCCCAGTACGATGTTCAATTCTCAATATTTGCATAATGGTTTCATGAGAAGAATTACTGCTATTTTTGATATACCTCTACATGTACATGTACCTGTAAAGTAAAAATAGTGTTGTCATGCGAACAGGTTTTTACCACGTTTTTACCAATGAACTCAATATTTATATTGAGTTCATTGGTTTTTAAATGTCGGACTTCATCGTTTTGTAAATGGCGGAATCGCTCGTTCGTCCACCAAACAAATTAACTCGTATTGTATCCCCACTTACGAGAAGTACACAAGAGCTTTTTTCCGAAATAAACTTGATATTTCAATGTAAATTTTGTTCATTTCGAATTGAACGGGAAAAATCGTCCGTAGGACGAGTAATTTTGTCTGGAATTCTTTGAGCTGAATTTCATAAATGCAACAAAAAATAATGCTCGAATATAATTTGGTAAGACAATTCAATGATTAAGTTAATCACATTATTGTTGATAGTTTTTTTTTCAATTCCTGCAGTCGAAGACTTCAAATCGCAACATTTCCACACATTAGATGCTTTACTAACAACGCAAGTTTGAGAATAATAATAGACGTGATCAAAGATTTGTTTACAATATCTGTCGCTGGAAAATTCAGAATAACATTTCTTCGCTGTCATGATGACAAAATCACAGCGGCTTACATGAAATGATTTGTAAGGAAAAATGTTAAAAATGAATAAATGAGCTAATCTAGGTGTATTTATCAATAAAAAAAATAACATTGAAGAAGACATGCAATTCGAATATTATATGTAACTACAGGATGAATCCGAAATTGAGTGTTTTTTCTTCAACTGGATATATATCTCACCAAAATGAGTTATTTGCTCGGCTATTTGGCAAAAAATTGCTCACATAAAATATTCAAGATAACAGAGGAACAGGTATTCAAAGGTTTAAAGAAATATATATAAAACATTTTGTTTAAATTTTCTAAAAAAAAAGAAGAAGATTTGTTATCCGTCCAGCTTTATTTCATCAGAAAAATCAATCAAGAATCTCTTTTCACATTTTCAACCTATTGATTTTTGTTCTGAAGTGAACCATAAAACGTTAGGAGGGAAATGAAGCATTAGGCCAAACAACTTATCTTGGCGAGATATATACCCTGTTAAATAAAAAAGAGAAAAAAGTTCGAACTGAATTCTTTATTATAAATTAATCATTGACCTGAATCAATATACGAAACTTTATTAAAAGAGACTTGAAAGAAATCTCATTTCAATTCCTTCCTCAAAATGACTCAATATTAATGTCAGACTTAATCAATGAACTCAATATAAACACCTATATTGAGTTCTTTGGATTTAGTACATGAGGATGACAGATTCACTTACTACATTCACTTTCATCTGATCCATCGATACAGTCAACTGTCATATCACAGCGGTAATGTGGAGGTATACAGTACGTTTTGTTCCATATGTATTGTCGACATGTGATCTGTCCTGACTCACATTCTGGGGGAGCTGAAACAAATAATAGTAGTAATTAAGTAGGTATAATATGTTTTAGGGTTTTTTGAATCAAAATGAATAAAATAACGGTAATATAGTCATCAATTTTTATGATATTAAAAAACTAATCTTTTTTTTCTGTGACGGGAAAGAAGTTTGACATTTTATATCTGTTGTCAGGGAAAAAAATTGCACTTTTTATAAAATTATCAATTTTTTTTCACTGGTAAAAATTAGTATCCTGTTAACCAGTGTTGGTTGCAGGGAAGTTGTAGGGAATTATCATTGTGGAATTGCGACTTCGCATTGCTGATTTAAAAAAGGTGCACCAATACTTGGTGGTTGCTTAATGTCCCCAACGTCAGGACTTCACATTGCAGATTTATTTTATTTACTATACTGCAAAGCAACCACCTCAGCAAACACAGAACTTCTGACTGTAGCGCATTAACTTGAAAATCTATAAAACACTGATGCGATTGGATTTGAACTTCGATTGAAGTTCTATGGTAATTATCAATATCACAAAATGTCATTCTGTTGAATGTTGATTTTTTGATGAAAAATATATTTGAATATTGAATGCCTAGTTGCATTCCTTTGAATGCTTGTTTATCATTTCTTCGGCCATCAATATTATGAGTATGAGGTCTAATAATATACGTGAATTTGCCAGAGTTCCACTTTAATGTTTAAATCATAATTCGATCTCAGAATATTTGTCAACTCTGGAACATTTTCCGATCTTTCAGCACCATCTTCCGATTAATTTCACAGTTACACTTTTATTATTGTATAAAGGATGAAATAGATAATGCAATTTATTTTGATTCGTGGCAAACATTGTTATTAATAGGATTGATTAATTCAATTTAATAATTCAAGTTAGTTAATTGAATTGAGTATACCTACATAATGAAAATTATAAAAATGGTATCGAAAATGAATTTTAACTCTCGAAATTATAAATCATCCTATTATCTTTATTTATGTTATTTGTAAGTATATCGCTACTTCGGTGTTGGGAATCAACTCACGAGAAGTCTCAGAGGGTTAGGAAGAGCGGAATAACCTACAGCTTATATAGTGGGACCAAACCACGCATGATTATCAAAAATGGAAGCAAAACCGGATCCAAAATTTGACGTGTTTTGGCCTTGTCAGCTCACATTTGATTCCAGATTTCCAACCAAAACGTCACGTTGTATGCAAATATTTGAAACGAGAATAATGTGAATACTAGAATTAAAAAAATCTCACAGGTTTAATACATGTCTATGGCCATTGTTCATTGCTCATCATCTGATGTATTTTGCATGCATATTCCCATTATCTTGATAATAATAAATATCTAATTATCATTATGATCAATTTCATCATTATATTCAGGTGTGAGTATATACATATAATTCATCAATAAAAAATGATATTCGGTATACCTACAGAGTGAACATTAATGTAGTCGAAATGTTAATCGTTGGATATAGTTGCGACGTGTCATCAAATAGGATATCTTAGGAAAGTTGACGTGATGTCTTCTTCAAGAAGTTGCTTGGATATAGTTTATGAAAGTTTATCCAAGATACTTTATTCCAATTTCTGATAATGTCACAAATTCGATGTTTGAAAAATATGACCAGAGATTAGTGATGTAGTAATAACAATGTAGGTACACTTCATATACACTTCTCCATATAATATTGCATTAGATTTTCAAAGAAGTTGAGTTGGAGAACTAGCAAGGTTAACAATTTGTGGATATTCATATCCACAAAGCGAAATCCTTAGTAGTATACGATCTTCGGTATGATATTATTAGGTATTCATTCCGACTGTTACTCCGCAGGTTGGCTATGGGTACTATTTTACAGGATATACCCTGTGATATACCTATATACACTGTTGATGGCTTTTGTTGTTGTCTCAGTCCCAAAAAATGAACCAATGACAACGTCTCCATTCTGCCTATAACTTGAATAGCTACATGGTTTCGTATGAACTACTAAACAACCACTATATTTTCGCAATTTGTCTTATAATTGTCATTATTAGTATACAACAGCCTACCAGTTAAAAACATCAAATTTCAGATCGATATTTTAATAATAATAATAATAATAATAATAATAGTTTTATTTCCCACCACGTATTACAACAAGATACATGTAATTTAATGAAAATAGTAATTAATAAAATAAAATTATCAAACATTTTGGCAGAGTATGAGAGTAACACAGTGAGAAACAGGCACATTGATTCAGATAGCAGTAGATACTGCTTCTGTTCTTCCATCACGGCCTGAAGAGATACAAAAAAATCATTTTACAGCGTAATGTCTCCTTTATATCAACGTTTAAAGTGATTTCGAAGGAACGATAAAAAAAAAAAAGAAAAAAAGAAGGAAAAGAAGAAAGAAAGAAAAAGAAGAGAGGAGAGGAAAGAGAAAAGAAAGAGCATTATTTTTAATCAAGGCATGAGCAAGCATGAGTTCACTGGGTATCAAATAAGTATTTTTTGAATTTGAGACGAAATGCTGATCGCGATAATTCCAAAAAAGTGCTGTCTAGTTTGAGAATATTATTGATACAAATTGCGGCATTGTAAGAGAAAGAACGTCTATATATTTGTTTAGTGTGTCTGGGAACAGTCAGCAGTGTTTGACGACGAATGTTCAGATTGTGGACGTCAGTTCTGAATTTCAATTTCTTATGAAGATAGGGTGGTGTGTTTGATTTAAGTATATTGTGGAACATACACGCCATATGATGACGTCGCCTATTATCCATATTGAGCCATTTCAATTGTTTGAGCTTTTCCGAAATAGATATTCGACTAGATTTACGTATGCCATAAATGAGACGAACACACGATGTTTGCACTTTTTGTATTCGGCGAGCATCTATCCCGTTCAAGCAAGGACTGTATACTACATCGCAGTGGTTGAAGTGTGAGAGAACCAAGGAGTCGCAGAGCATTTTTTTCACCTCCACTGACAGAAACTGTCTCTGCGTATAAATCAGCTTAAGAGATGAATATGCATTCCTCAATTTATTTGTAATATGTTCATTGAAACGAATAGATGTATCTATTGTCAAGCCCAGATTTTTGTGCGAAGATTTAATAGGTATTTCCGTATCACCTATTTTCAGGGTGATTTGATCATTCGATGCATATAATGAATTTCCTTTGCCAAATATCATTGCAACAGATTTTTTGGGGTTAATTTTCAGAGCATGATCGCTTGATAATTTTTGTAATGAATCAAGATCGGTGTTGATGTAATTAATGGCTATTGCCAGATCCGAAAAATTGAATGAAAAATAAATCTGTGTGTCGTCAGCGTAAAAATGGTAATTAAAGTATTTCAAAACTTCTATGAAATTCGAAGTATATAATGTGAATAAGAGAGGACCAAGAATACTACCCTGAGGTACTCCACAAAGTAGTTTCTTGGGAGTGGATTTCTCGTCATTGATTTTTACTATTTGTGTTCTATTATATCATGATCAATCAGATCAAATGCCTTCGAATAGTCAAGAAGAATTAGTACTTATACTCATTTGATTTTTATCGGTCGCCTCTAAGATGTCATCCAATACATCTGATGCAAGGGCTGTTGCACAACTATACCCTTTTCTGAATCCCGATTGTTTTGGAGGTAGGATATTGCTGAAAGACATGAAGTTGCGAATTTGTGTTTCCATTATTCTTTCTATAACTTTCGAGCAAGTAGGTTAAATACTAATCGAACGAAGATCACTGTATTCCATCGGTTGACTAACTTTTGGAATTGGGGTGACTTTAGCAAACTTCCATGAGTTTGGAAAGTAGTTTTTCGAGAAACATTGATTTATTATATGGGTGATGATGGGTATTATAAGAGGACAGCAGAGTTGAATTATTATTATGTTTATGTCATCATTGCCAAATGCATGCGATTTTATATTTGAAATTATATCACGGACAGTTTCTTCGGAAATTTGACTAAAAACAAATTCGCTTTCAATACCATTTTTGACATTATGGGTATAATGATAAATCAATTCATTGTTTAATGGCATGTCATTTTTTGTAGACTCGATAAAATATTTATTTATATTCTCTACATTGTTTAAGAAGTCTGGAATTTCATAGTTTTTATTTTTGGTGACATTCAGTTTTATGAGTTCATGCCATTTTTCTTTGTCTGTGCATTTACTGAACTTCGAATTCGAATAGGCTTTTTTTTCAGCTTTTATTGCATTCGTTGTGAAATTTCTCATTTGTTTATAATAAGACCAGTGGTGTGGTAGTTGACTTTTTTTGCATTTATGTAGTGCTTTGTCTCTAATTTTCTGCATGGTTTTGATGGTATCAGTGATCCATGGCGCATATTTTTTGTTTCTAGGGGTGAAAGTTTTAATGGGAGCGTGATTATCGATAAGATTAATAATATTATAATTTAGTATATCCACTTTAACATCAATGTCATCAGTTTCAAAAATAAGGTACCAGGGGATAACCTGCAGTTCTCTTTGAAAATCTTCATGATTTATATTCTTCAAGTCCCTATACGTGATTGTTTTCTCAACGTTTCTAAACTGACTATTCAATTCGAACTCACAGCATACACTGTTGTGGTCAGATACCTGGCTGGTTTCTACCCAAGAGCGATATTCATCTGAGCTAAAATTTGTGATGATCAAATCGATTAGAGATATAGATGAATTTGCTATTCTAGTAGGTTCGTTAATGACTTGTGAAAAGCTGAAAGACTCTAGGATAGAGCTAAACTGCTGGGAATCATTGGAAGTTATATCAAACATATTTATGTTGAAATCGCCGACACATATGATATAATTGAAATTTGAGAATACATTCGAGAATATATCTTCTATGCTGTCCATGAATTTAACGGTACTAGAACTCGGAGGTCAATAAACAGTTCCCACAGCTATCGTGAGTTTATCTAACATGATTTTCACCCAAATATATTCCACGTGATCATTACATTCACTGAAAAGAAAATCAAA